ACAGAATACACAATATTGTAGAAAGATGAATTAACTATGTCGGTCGACTGTATTGTATATCATTTAAATAGGTAATTTCCTTTTCATTAAAAATACTTGTAATTTATAACGTTTATATAATTATTGATTCTATTGGTACAATTTATGAATTTTAATTATATATACATCACGCATATCGATTGTTATGGTCTTCATTGTGGCCTGATCCGGACATGCAATACAAAAAACTCAGTAAAGAAGAATGAAAAAAAAAATGTAATTCAACAAATTTATTGACAGAATTCATGGTTTGGATTTTATTCAGGCAATCGATACGTGAATCATTATTAACCATCAGAATCTGCAGTCTTCCACTTTACGTTTGCAAGAAAAAATAAAAACTATTTAAAAACTATTTTTTAAGAATAAATTTTCTGAAAAAAAAAATGTATTGTCCACGGTATTCTTAGTTGTCATACAAGCGCTTGACCGCGTATGGCATTCTGACCTTATGTAAATTAAAAAATATATTACTTCCTCCTTATTTTCTATTCCTCAAATCATACCGCGAAAACCACCACTTCGCCATGCGAGTGGGTACCGACATTACAGAACTATCTCTAATTCTCGACGGAGTCCCTCTGGGAACAATACTATTTCCAGTTCTGTTCAACATTTTCTCTATCGACCAAACTCCACCACTCTAAATACTTCTGTAGCAGAATACGCCGATGACAAAGCAATTTTAACCACCCATAATGACCTTGTCCTAGCTTTAAACCACCTTTAAAATCACCTCAACCTACTATCTACCTGGTATACTAAATGGAGAGTCAAAATCAATACTTCTAAATCATTGCACATAACATTCACTCTTCGTAAAGGCACTTTTCCTCCTGTAACATTAAACAACGCCGTCATTTTTATTGCCTCAAACGCTTGCTGTTTAATAATAATAAACAAAAAAAAAAAATAAAAGAATCGTATTTGTAGTAATTTAATAATGCTTAAATAATTACAATTCTATACAATATAAAATTTGGTAGTACAATCATATAATATTTTGTTTAAAAAGTAGACATGATTTATCATAAATATTATAATATAATACATTGTCAGAAGAATTAATTATAAATATAGAAGTGTTACAAATATAATAAATATATAATATTTAATAAGTAATAAACAGGGCTAGGATTTTTATGCAATAAAAAATTGTAAAATATGCATTTTATTTACCAAAATTTGCAAAAATATGCATTTCATTTTTTATAAGATAAACACAAAAATATAGTTAAAAAAAATATTTGTTTATTGAAATGCATCAGTGGTTGGATTTTTTTCTTAACCCTACAGTGCATGATTTTTTTATTTTTTATTTTTTAATTTTTTTTTGGGTTATTATATTAGTCCTAATAAAGGGAAAATTACTTAAAAAATTTTTTGGTATTTTAAGTCTCTAAAAAAAACAATTTTTTGGTTTGTTGCCTGTGAGCAACGCTGTTTACGTACAACATAATTATTTATTAAATTTATAAATGTAATTTATTCATATACCTATCTTGAAAAGTTATATCGTTTATTCATTAACTATAAATACAAGAAAATAATTACTTACTAATTACAAAACAAAGTATATATGTTTAAAAATGTAACTTAATATAATATAATTGAAAAATAAAAAAAAACATGCTGTTGCATACAAATCCTAGCCCTGGTAATAACTAATTACTATTAGTCTTACAAACAAAATTATGGGGAATTTTTAAATTTAGTTATATTCGAACAGTGGTTTATACATTTTTTTCACGTATTTGAATAGTTATTTTAATATTTTTTTTTTCAATTCTTTACCTATAACTAGACAGAACTGTATTGCATGGGTTACACAAATTTGGTTGCAGGTGTTCTTAGATTTTACATATTTTCAAGGTGAAACATAAAAAAGGTTTTGTCTTCTACAACTCATTCATTGTACCTGTATTCAAAATACATATCATTTATAAAAATGGTGTATATTATCAAAACTCTCTTCTTTTTTTTTTAATATATGATGTAGATGTAGAAATTGTTTAAAATTTTTTTGTAGCTATAGTAACGTATGGGTATTTTACACTTTTAATATGTAATATTATAAAACAAAAATTGATTATAAATATAAATGTAACTAACCAACATTTTTATGTTCGTCGATACAGTTAATTTATTGTTTGCTGAAAAAGATTTGGACATTTTAAGGTATTAAGTAGAAAATAATGAAATTAAAAATGCCTTTTAAAAAATGGGTTGTGTGGAGAAATCATACTAATCAAAAATGAGTAATAATATGGTGACGCACTTCAGAATAGTTTATAAATTAGTATAAATAAAATAGAACATGTTTATTACATAAAACGAAAAATCCTTTTCCTAGAAAGAACGTGATTATGTTGATTGAATTGTTATAAATTGAATTTAATGCAACATATTTTCAAAGATTTAAAATAATTAGGTAATATGTAATTAATAATTTATCAAATAGTATGAAAATCATGTACATACTGTGCGTTATTTTATTTAACGTTGATTATTTTTGGTTTTCTAAAATATTTTTGGTATTGGATGATTCATTAGGATTTATTAAAAATATTATACCGTTTGAAAACATTTTAATCCAATTGAATTTAGATTGAAATGTTAAGAAATTGTGTTAAATTATTTCACATTTTGCGGTTTATAGTATATAGTAGAATATTTTATAGTAGAATACATGTATGAAATCTGGTGGTGTAAATGTAACACGAAAGTAACCTAATAATAATTATTATCCACATATTAATTTAGGAGGCACTTGTAACTTGTAATATTATTTTATACATGTATTTTTTATGATTTATAATTTACAAAATGCCTCAATTTTTTAAATGCATCGGTGAAAAAAAAAGTTACTGCAACGAATGTTAATTGATTTTATATTCATAGACGGTGTTGGTAATAACGTGTTTGAATCAATGTGAAGTAATATTGAAACAGGTAAGAGACCTCTGATCTCTGCATCAATCCTTACATCAACCTTGATTTCCTTAATTCGTATGAATAATGGATAATAATACCTTATATATTCTCCATATTTCCTAATATTTTTGTGCCAATTACTGACCACCGTTGTTCAAGAAGAAAAATAATAGTAAATTAATAGTAATTACTATTTATTCGTTTTCAAGTGTGTATTATAATGCAATTCAGTGGAGAACGTTTCTAGTGACATTCTCAATAAAAACGCATCTAATGATGTAATGTAGTAATAATCTAATAATGCATGTAAAATTAGCATCACGACACTGGCAAATTAACTTCAAATTTATTTCATAATATGTATTGAACATTTTCCAAACATCATACCATACTATTCCATACCTGTTGCAAATGAGCCACAAAATAATAACATTGGTTTGACTTATAATAAATTAGTCATGACAGATTCAGAGTCGTATTACTTGAAATCGACACCATGAATTTGATCATACGATTTATTAAAAATATTTTAATCAATGTGACGTGGTCGTGGTGAATTATTATAAATTGCTTATAAGAAATATTTGAAACAGATTTGATGGCACGTAGGTACCCATGGCGAAGGTTTGAATTGTAATCCCCTATGACAGATACTGGCAGAGTCCCAAGTGTAAGCGCGAAGAAAAAATAATGTATAGTATTCTAACGGAAAAATCAGAAGGAAAAAAAACGAAGTCAGTAATCTTTATTTAAATTAATAATATAATAACAATAGACATATGGTATAAGGTCATTAAAAGAAAAAATACAATGGCCAAAGTTCCAAGAATGATGGATATTATAACTAAGTGTCATATTGTAGGGAAGGCAATAGAGACATTTTTAACCCCCCCCCCCAGGCATTTTTTCACTGTTTTGTAAAAGCTGTGATGTGAAGTTGAATTCCATTATAATGACTACTCGCCCATCTTACGTTCCATCTAATTAGAGTACCCAATTATTTAGTTACAATAAAAACCGTTTCTAATAAAAATACTAAATTCTGCGTTATAATCATAGATAATAAATAAAAATCTATTGTTCATAGCAATAATTATCGTTCTGTCTTAATTGTATATTTTATTATACTCGTACATTATACTTGATTTTGTTGTTTAAGTTTGGTATCGATCACAGAATTTTAAGTTTTTAAAACAGTGAAGGTTTTGACATCAGTATTTCAAAATCATATGTACTGATTATGCTCTCCTGAATGATTATCTAAGTATGCCATTATTAAGATTGATTATACCCATATAATAAAATGACGCCAACCAGTGACGTAGCCTGAAATATATTTTGAGGGTTGTTTTAAATTTTCTCTTACATAAGTACTGTTTTTTTTTTTTTTTTATTAAGTCGATTAAACATAGGTTAAAATGTAAAATGTGTTATTATTTAGTCGATTGAAACTGTGAAAATTGTTTAACGACGACATGATATAACATTAGTCATGTCTCTTAAAATTATTGTATATTTTACAATAAGACATTTCGGGGAAGGGGTTAAAACCCGTTAATCCTCACCTCTTGGCTACGGCATCGTTGTAAACCATTTTAGAATATATTAATATACTAGTATGTTCTAAAATCAATGATTAAACGCACGAAAGTATTATAGCAGGCGAGTATCAAGGGAATACGAAGACGGTTTTCCAAGAAGCTCAGCCGACACTGTTTATTGCGTTTTACCGCGAAGTCCTCAAAAGTTGTCACGACGAAGCGGTACGCGTAGTGCACTCTGGAATCGTTACAGGGTAGGAAAAAAAAAAGAAAAAACTGTAAAGGTCTTCCTCGGGTCTCGGGGTCGCCAGGGAAGTGTCGCAATCTGGCGGCCGCGATTCGTGAGCGCCTTGCACCGCATCCGGTGACTGATGGGTGGCGGTTGCGTCATCGATGCCTCGCCACTCACCGTTCAACGGTGAACGCGTGCGTCGGCGAACGTTCCCGAACCGTCGTCGTCCGCGGTCGCGCGCCTCGTATCTCCATCAGCAGTGCGTTATACCGTTCAACGTCCAGTAGTATCGTGCGTTCATGCCGATCTCGTGCGTTCGTCTGTACCGGTTTCTTCGGCCTTGCCGTCGCCCCGCTCGTCGAGATATCGTTATTATTTTACCGTTTTCCTCGTTCACGAGCGCGCATTCGAATCCGACACACGATCGTCGCGCAATGAATCCGACCGACTCCCACGGGAAATAACGTATCGTTGGATTCTCATATTATAGATCGATCGAAGCGGCCACGGAAATATCGCTGCGACCAAGACGTCCCGGAAGCCGTTATTAAGTCCCTCTCGCGGCTCTCATCCGACACCACATTTCGGTGAGTACCTACATTGTTCAGTGTATTCTTTAGAGCGGGCATTTCGCGGCACGCGGATCCCCGTAAAAATAAGTCCCTCCCTCGGGTTAATGTTATTTCAATAATTTTATTCATACAATCCCATCTGCACATATTGTGTGTGCATACGATCAGGGAAATGTTTGCGTCGCGGACCATAGGTAAACAATTGTCGTACTGTTAATTATAATTAACAATTAATAACATATTAAACCTATTCAAACATACGGCATATTCAAACCCATATTCGGACGTCAGTTGGTGATGTATACGTGCCGCACGGTGAATAATCGCATTATATGTATCAGATTTAAGTATTGACAAACGCCGCAGAGAGTATTATGTATAATATTATGCGTGCTTGTGCACTGCGGTGTTTTACGCACACTAGTGTGCATACTTTCCACCCCGGACGTTCGACAAAACTTTTCGCGGCGGTTTTCCGCGTGGGACGTTTTAACTTTTAAAATTATTACCCCCTCATATCCTTCTCCGGGTAGCAGATGGGAGTTCTTTCTGCCACACCAGTTGCGATTCGTTTTAACGAGATCGCAAACCGACGACTGGTGTTTATACTCGCTTACACCGCTGTGTCGCACCTATGTGATTCATACTGAACAGTTTACATATTGTGCAAAACGATATGTACACATTTTATATGTTAATTTATCTCATGGGGTTTAAAGGGTTATCTGTCGAAAGGATCTTATCGTCCAATCTATATGTAAACGCATAAATTAATTCTACTCGTGGTGCGAGGTCTGAGCGAATTATAGTGACGGCGATTGAATAATGCATCATAATTTTTCCGTTAATAAATATTGATTTAAATAATCGCGCGCGACGACGACCGTTGATCAGCAAATAAACATAACTGTCTAGACATTATTGTTATTCGGTAGTGGCGTGGTAATACCATACTGCAGTAACGCGACGTAGAACATGACGTGGTTGTTTACGTACGTACGTCAATCGGGTATTAACCGGAGACCTGTATAGATTTCGGTGACGATTGCGAATGAAAATCTAGATTGATTCGGAGGGTGTTCTTTGTCTGGGTGACTCTGTTTGAATGGGTATTGCATTACAATAACGGCATAATCATGATGACTTGAATCTAAAGTTAAAAATGTTGATATATTGTATATTTGAGTTGTTACTGTTAACTGATAATATATTAATTAATATAAAAAAATGTTTAATTAATTTTTATTTTTATTATGAATTATTCATTCGAAACGTATATGTATAATATATGTGTACACTTTATTTGTTTAGTTTAAAATGTGAAGTCAGCGACTGCTCGCTAAATTAGTCCTTGCAATATAATTTAAGTACGAAACGAGCTTTCAACACAAAAGCAGAGTAAAATATTGAAAATTATTCTTGGAAACTCTTTATTAATCACAAAAACGAATTTTTCCAAGAATACCTTGCATTACATAAATCTAGTGTCGTTTTCTGTATATATGGTATTGCGTTCCCAGTTTATTATTTGCGTTATCGCGTTCGACTGAGAAGTTTCTACGAGATTTAATTTTTATCCTTGTTATACCTTAAAGTTTTGCTAAAGGACCAATTTAGTTTTTAGTTTGAGTTCCGTACATAATTATAATATTTTTTTTATTATATAATGTGCAAATACAGACAGGTCTAAAATGTGCTTTTGGAAAGCGTTAATTTGATATATACTGTTCTTTTGTACGCGTGTATCCTATATATAGTATATACGGTTATAATCTTACTATGCAATAGTCTTTATTTTGTAATCGAAATTCTCTCATCAGATCTTTTCGACGGTATTATTTTCATGAAATTACATTTTAATATCTGTAATTTTTAATAGTTCATCTATTAGCGGATACAATTATTAACCTATACACCTCATTAATTAATTTTTTTAACTACGATTTGTATTCTTAATTCCATAATAAGTTCTGAAATTCTTCTCACGAGAATGATTGTTTGATTTAATTTATATCCGAATTTTCTATGGTAACATTTTTACTATGCATACATTGCTTTTGTATCTTTCGAATTATACTTATTTCTCGTTATTATTGCAATTATTTAAAATGTTTTAATTTCATTAAACTTATTCAAAAATCTCCTCGAAAATCTCTATAAATTTCGCAAGTTTATTTGTAATTCGTAAGTATTAATTAAATTTTTTTCAGTTTCTCTAAACTATTGTTTAAAATGTTTAAATGTTTTTATTTATTTTTACATTTTTAAGCATATTACTTCTGGCATACTTGATTTTGAGTATTTAATTTTAATTACGAAGAATATTTTTCGATGTACAATTTAAATTAAATCCGTACATAATTTCATAAACAAGAATTAGTTTGTATAGTCTTTATCAGATTAACTATGCCATTTTAATTATGAAGCATTTTTATTTGTATATTTTATTTAGAATTAGAGACAAATAACTATCGTAACTATTATATTATGTTCTTAAATGTAGATCGTATGCAACGATTAATTCTGACAATATCATGAGGTCCTTTGTTGCCATTTAAAAGTAATTTATTCTCTATACTCCTTCATTTATTTGTATTACTCATATGACGACCCCTTGTATCTTTGATACTATTTTTACCAACCTTGACGAGCTGCCTAAATAAAAATACAAAAACATTATTGTATTTTTATTTTTTTGTAGAGATTTTAAATTTTATATTTGAAAAAATTATCCACAAAAAAAATAATAATCTTTTTCACACTTTATATGCGTAACGTAATTAAAAATTATTTTATTTGACTGTATACCAGTTGAAAAGAAAAACTATTACTATCGATAAAATGAATTTAGATAAAATCTTCGAACAATTTAAATTACATGGAATGCGTTTGTCTATAACCGTTAAAACTTTCAAAACCTATAAACTAAGTTTTCATTAATAGTATTAATAAAATATACTGGTATTGTATAAAAAAATATTTTTAATTTAAATATGTTATATAAATTATATATAAACAGTAATAGAAACAAACATTTGACATATATTAATTTTTTAGTTTATACTTTGAATCATGATTTGATTTTAAGTATATGAGTTACTGAACGTGTTAAATTTATATTCTTATATTATGATTTATTGAAGTATACACATTGGATAATTATTGCCCTAAGAACCGTCGTAACTTTTAATTACAATTAGCTAGGTAAAACTATTGCGAAATTTTTAAGAGCACGTGACAACTTGGTAAGTGCTTAGTCTTATATAATATTTTTAAATCATTTAAGAGTGTGTGTTTAAACGTTTATTCTCTGGGTATATGGGTTGTGTGTATGGTATACATAAATGCGTTTGTTTTCGTGATCAGATCGTTTAGTGGAAACAGAGGACTTCCTAAGATTTATCAGTTCCATGGGAGAATGGTTTGGAGGATATAATAGACAACAGTAGTAGTTTCTAATATTAGCCGGTGCAAAAAAAAAAAGTTAAGTCTCATAATGTAATATATTTGTACAGTATGGCAAAACGTGTGTATATATTACATATGCATTTGTATTTTTCACGAAGACACGAATAATGCACGTCCGTGTTTTCATTGGCATTGGCCAACGACGACGGCGACTGTGGTGGCGGCAAGTCGTGTCGTCGACCCTCGCATGCACTATTTTTAAAATCGTCGGTTCACTCCGAATTTGGACCAAAAAACCGCATCGTCTTCCTAGTTTAGTCGTCCGCTATGAGTCTTCTCCTGCTTTATAATTTTTCTCTCCCTTTAACTATCTTTCACTCTTTCTTTCACGCATATTTGGTCTGAAATAATTATTATTATTGCTTTAGTCAAACATACCCCCGTGCATATGTTGTTTTCAGCTATGTGACAATATAATCAGACCATATGTCCTGCCAATAAAGCAAGGAACGGTATTTTTCAAAAACACATGTGTAATCTGAGAAAATAATACATCACAGGGACACCACTACTACCAGGTGTAAAAGAATAAATAAATGTTGAGTGCACAAAATAATATATATATATATATATATATATAATTTAAAATTTGTGAAGTGTCGTACTTGCCGTGTGCATGGTGTGAAACCGGTTCCTACTTACGGAGCCACCCGTTTTTGTACCTGGTTACTGGCCAGGTGGTGTTTTAGTTTATGTTCTGACTATAGGCACGCGATACTGTCTTCCGGTTCTGAGCCGCGGTTGAACTTGTATTTGGCTCTGGTATAATGTACTTAGTATTTTTTTTAATTTAAATTTTTTTTAATTGAATAAACTGGCATGCGTGTGTTTTTTTAAGCACTGGACGACGATCCTATGTCATCAGTATATGTAATTACTTTATTAGTATGGCGTTTACATAGTCATCCTAGACTTTATTTATAATAACACTTTATTACGTATATTTTTCATGATACTTTCTTTTTTATTTATGTATACATTCTCCGTGATATGTGTATAATACATTCGAACGAGTATAACATTTGAATGACATTGTGCGTAATTAATTTCAATGCAAATTTACATAATGATGGACTAAAATTAAAATAATTTATAGAAATATGACCTAACCACATAACATTGCTTTACTAAAAGCAATAAAATTTCAAGATACCAGTTTTTGCTATTTTGAGTTATAAGACTGATTTTAAAATGTATTGTTGAATATTCATTCTATTAGCGATTTTTGAGAATAATTGTAAAAATACTGATATTTTAGAATAAAAACATTATGTTATACTATATATTTTATTGGAAACCGATTGTCTTTTATCCTTTTTGAACATAATAAATTAATTATTATGATGAGACGCAAATATTTAGTTTTTATTTAAAATTTTTAGAATAAATTATTAGTTAGAAATAAAGATTAATACAACTATAGATTTATATACATTAATATAAAATTAAATAATTATAAAATATTATCTAATTTTTAAAATACACAAGTATAAAAATTACATTTAACCCTTTCACTGTTGAATTTATTTTTTCTGATATACATATGA